AGAAGTTTAGCCACTGGGTTTCTTATGCCCCTGAAGCATGAGACCTTATAGCCCTTATTAATGCTTTTTTTTACTCTATTGGAAGTAGGGGTAGCCTCTTGGCCTGAATAGAGGTTGTGGCAGCAAGTTCCACAAACTACCTACACATTGTTTTAAAGCACTGATGCATTTCACTAGTGCGGTACTCTAGGTTCCAAAATAAGCCAAGTAGTATGGTGCTTGGTTGGTAATTTTCTCAAATCACAGTAAAGTTTTGGTTTGGAATGAGTTGAACCTTGGTTCAAACCAGCATAATTTAACAAATGCTAGTTAATACATTTAGGCCATTGAGGTACAACTGAAATGCCTATATCTGTTCTGTGATATGGAGTTTATGTGCTATATGTGCCAGTGAAATTGCTTTCTATGTTAGAAGGACAAATGTGCTTTGGGCTTTGCTCTACTGTTTTCTCTTTATTGTTGCTGGTTGTTATTTGCAGCAGTGCCTGCAGCAGTGCTGCCTTGGGCTGCAAGTAGTATCAGAGCTTCAAAGGAATTAGTCATTTTAAGTCTTTTGGGGGTTTGGGTTTGTTTTTTTTTTGTTGTTTTCCAAGAGCAGGACATCACTCCCCTTTGCTGTGGCTGAAACCCAGTACCTTGGTTGCTGTTCTTTTTGTGTATGTAGCCAAGCAGTGTGAAAACTAGAATTTCTGCTGTGCAAAAGAAAATAAGCATGAGTGACTGTGTGTGTAAATATATCAGTAAATATAATTTGGAAAGAAAAGTTGGGAAGAAGGAGTTTTTTTAAATCTCTTTTAATAGAGCCAAAATAGCATTTCTTGCAAAATGTTGTTACTGGGACCTTAGCAACGTGTTGGGGAGATTGCCAGGGAGCTTAAGGAGAGCAAATGTGTGAGTGAAAAGGCAGAAGACTAAATGTTTCCTCTGCCATGTTTCTTGTGAAAGTGGGGATTCCATCAAAAGAACTGATGTGTAAATTATTCACTGAAATGTAGTACCCCAATTCCGAATCTCAGTGTAATCTTCACTTCTTTTTTTTTTCCTCTGCCTTAAACAGGAATTTCCAGTTTTTAAATCCAGTTAGCATCTTGCAACTGTCAACGACAGAATATATACATTTAACTAGATGTTTGTTTTCATCATGGGAATGCTCAACTGTTTCTGGAAACCAGGCAGCTGTAACCTGCATGAAATTGGGCAAACTTCCAAAATCTACTAGTTATTTGGGAAGATTTGGACTAGAGAGTTCTGCTTTTTTCCCCATTTTGTGAGAGTGAGGTGCTGGCAATGTTAGCTTGTCGCATGCTGCAGAAGGAAGGAGAGCTATGCCATGCAGTATGCAACAGACCAGAGTTGTGCACCGATGGAAAAAAAATCTACGCTTCTCACCTAGCTGCTGAAGGATTTTCGATTCAGTGCTGCTGCTTTAGTCTTTGGAGATCAAAATAATGCTTCAAATTTAATTACTGTAAACTACTGTGGCAAGCAGCAACCTGTGGAAATGCTCTCTCTGAGGTCATGAGACATGCTACAGTCATTTCTAGAATCAGGAGAAAATAAATACAGGGAGTGAATCGTTATTCTTTCTTACAAAAAGAAGTGGTGGGTTATCTAAGATGGGCAGTACTCTGGTCTGTTACTGGGTTAGTGGTCTAAGATCTTGGGCTACTGTTATATCTGCAGATTGACAGTTGGCTTTGTGAAACGTTTAGGAGAGTGGAGGAAGGGAAGCGCAAGGTTTTTAGTCTGTATCCAGAATTATAACTAACACCTATCTGTCCTAATTATGTTGAAATGAGGGGCAACTTCTTCCCGTGCCATATTCTGTCCTATTTAATTCAGTGACAAAGCTGTTACATGTTGGACTGGCTTTCAGTATCATGTATGAAAGTGCATATAAACAGGAAGAGGACTGTCTGCAAGTCAAAGCAGCAGTGACAAATTAAGAGATCGGGCAACACCTGGCTGTAGATTTTACTGAAAACTTTGCTTGTTCAAATCAGGTGCAGTCTCCCCATGGACTTCACTTGGGCCAGAATCCCTCCTGCAATATTTTGGGCAAAGGTCACTGCCCAGCTCTGCTACTTCTGAAGCATGTCTTCTCCCATTCCTGTCTACCAGCTACCTGAATAGAGGAAGTAAATATGTCTGCTAGCACTGACTGTAGCCACTGCAGGACCTGGGAGGCTTAACATATGAACTTATGAACTATATACCACTGTATCGATTACAACAAGACCACTTTTGAAATCTAAGATAGTACTTCCTGTGCTCAGTCATCTCCAGGTTCCTTACATTGTACTCCCTGGCATAACGTATCTGTGTTTTTTCATTTCCCATACTCTTGTGCTCTTAAAAGCCATATTCTAAGAGCTTAGATGCACATTCACTAATCTTGAATTACCAGTACTGTTTGCTCTTACCCTGATACTGCCTCTGCACTGGAAGTGAGACCCTTCTAGTCTGTCCAAGAGGCAGAAAATACAAAAGTTGTTCTGGTTGCTTCTGTTCAAAGTCTGAAGGCATAATG